TGAAATGGTTCCTAGCACACAGGCCTTTGAGTCTATGCTGCGCTACATTTATTATGGGGACGTCAACATGCCTCCAGAGGACTCACTGTATCCTCATTACCGCTTCATGTTCTACATTTTATATTGTAATGTGCAATCTTTCTTTCTGAGACCATGCATAATGCTTTGTTGTAATGCTTTTGACTCCCTTTTATATTATTATTTTTAGATGTTTATTTGTCATATTAATGTCATCTAATGTTTATTTGTCATCTAACTCACATGTTAGAAACATGAATGATACCTCAAATAGAGTAGCTTGAGGAGAGATGTGCTGTTACTTTTGCTAACGACCAGACTTGCGATTTTTCACCTGGCAGATGATGAAACGGAATGAAGAATGACGGAAGAACCTGAGCTGTATCAAATTTTAAATGATGTGTTTGCCCTTAACTAGTGCACAGATACCTGTTTGCAGCACCTTATTACTACGGTTTCTCCAACAACAGACTGCAGGCATACTGCAAGCAAAATCTGGAGATGAACGTTACTGTAGAGAATGTGTTACAGGTATGCATCATATATCATACACTATCGTTCAAAAGTTTGGGGTCAGTAAGAAATTAATACTTTTATTTGGCAAGGGTATATTTAAATTAATTAAAAAGTGACATAAAGATTTTTATGTTACAAAAAAATATATGTATTTCAAATAAATGCTGAACTTTCTGTTCATCAAAGAATCCTGAAAAAAAAAAACATTATGGCAGTTTCCACAAAAATATTTAGCGGCACAACTGTTTTCAACATTAATGATAATAAGAAATATTTCTTGAGCAGCAAATCAGGATATTAGAATGATTTCTGAAGGATCATGTGACAATGAAGACTGGAGTAATGATGCTAAAAAATTCAGTTTTGCATCACAAGAATAAATTACATTTTAAAATATATTCACATATAAAACAGTTATTTTAAATTGTAATAATATTTCACAATATTACAGTTTTTACACCATTTTTGATCAAGTAACTGCAGCCTTGGTGAGCAGAAGAGACGTCTTTCAAAAACATTAAATCTTACTATCCCCAAACTTTTGAAAGTTAATATGTGTCCACGTTCAAACCCTTTATTGATAAAGAACTGCAGTCACATGCTATCATCCCTCGTTTATCCTCAGATCTTGGAGGCGGCTGATAAGACTCAAGCTCTGGACATGAAGAAACACTGCCTGCATATTATAGTCCATCAGTTCACCAAGGTGGGTGTGCTATTGACCACAGCTCTAAGCGTGTGCTGGCTACCTCGCCACGGTTAAAAACACGTCACCAAAATATTCCGTCCAACGTGGATAACCTCTACGAGCTCTTTAATGTGTACGATATTCTGGTCGGATTTTCAAAACGGAGAGATCTGTAACTATGTATTGTCAGGCAAAGTTTGATATGCATTTAGACCTATTTATCATGTTATCAGTGTTATCCATCACGCATATTTACTTCAATAGTGATAAACTGTCCCACTTTCAGCTACCCTAAACAAAATATAGTATTTTTAAATGCCATTGAGTGCCTTTGTGAACATAATTTGACATCCTGGTGTTATTTGGCCCTCTTAGCTTATCAGTTTATTTTTGGTTGTTTATTTGCGGTCTATTGCATGGCCTGTGTTGTTTACCATTTATTTCTTTGGTTCTCCTTCCTTCCCTGAAGGTGTCCAAGCTCCCCAACTTGCGATCGCTCAGCCAACCGCTGCTGTTGGACATCATTGACTCGCTGGCATCCCACATATCAGACAAACAGTGCACTGAGATGAGCTCTGATATATAGTCTCTCCTCCCCTTCACATCCCATCCTTTATACTTTATATAAAGTAAATACTTTATGAGCTTTTTCATTAACGCTTCTGCTCCATTTCCTTCCCTTTTCATCCAGCACCTCCTCCCAACCCTTATAATTCTGCTTCACACCCCTCCTGTTCACTGCATCACATTCCTCTGGATTTTATTTACCAAATGGTGTTTAAGAGACATGCTGGGTGATTGTTCAGTTTCATTCGTTTTAATATGCGAATGTTTTTGGCAAATGCCTTTTTTTAGTAGTGCACATCAAATCAGTTGACGGCCCACAACGTTGTTTAATTAGACATACAATTATGTGTCCCACATAATGAAAGATTTGAAAACATCACCTCTATTAGTATGAATGAAAAAAAAACATGTCCAGGTAACCTTTCATTTCAAAATCCAAAGAAAAAAAACAATGTTATATCGCAGAAAGAAAATGAACTCATTTTATAGCCACCCATATATTTTTTGCCTTTTTATAATGACAATTATGAACATTTTAGCGCCAAATTATGATTCAATAAATGATTTCATCTGGTTCTTGTAAATTAAAGTACAAATAATACCATTGTGTATAAATATTTTTTTTTTTGCATTACAGCATGAATGAGAATTAGTTTTTTTTTTTTACAATGGATATATTCATTCTTTAAGCGAAATATGATTTCTTATTTTCTTCTTTGATTTTTTTTGTATCATTAAATATGACCTGGATTTTATCTACTGCACTTTATGAATATAGTAGACCTTTATTTATTCCTGAGCCTTGTAGTGGTTTTGTCCTGCTGTTGTTCTGAGTTATGTCAGTGCTCGTAATTATGCAGTTATGGCATAATATAATTATATAAGGGGATCAACACATCAACAGTCAACTCATGTACGCTTTACTGTAATCATTGAGATGTTCTGTTGGTCCTGTGGGAACTATGCCTTAATAAAGAGTGCAACATCAGCAGACTGTGTTTTGTGGTTTTATTTTCTATATATTATGTATACGGTAAAAGAATGTAGACGAGATGATTTGAAGGGAGTTAATGTGGATGATGGATGGCTATGACAAATCTGTAAGTATCTATTTATTTTTCCTTTGTGCAATGTGATTGATAAGATTACATTTAACATGCTATTTGATATTAACAACATTTAATGGTTCTGTGAGCCGATGTTTTCGAATACCATGTATAAACTACTTTCTTTACTACCTGACCTGAAGCCCAATGCTCTTTTTCAGCCAATCAGAAAATTGTAGTCAAATACAGCACCTTTGATGAAATTATTCAAATGATAAGTTGACAGAGAAGTAAAGAGTCCCTGAAAACCAAAGTAAGTTAAAGCTGAGATACAGCAAACAACGGAGATACAGCTAATTACATTACTCATCACAAATGTATTGGAGTAAAGCGTACATATACCTATTAAAAAAAATGTAGGCCTAAGTAGAAAGGTTGCTAATATCTTTGATACTTTCAAAGTACCCAGAATTATACTTAAAGTACAGTAACTAATAACATGTACTCAAATACTTTACACCACTGAAAGTTGAATACTTCACTAAAAAGTCAAAATGATTCGATGTTCTCAAACAATTTTGAATACAATATAAGCATTATTAACTGAAATGCTGTCATTCTCAACAGAACACCATAAAAGCTGAGCCTCAGACAGGGGCGATGAAAGAAAAATGAACCGTTTTGGATGGCAGTACAAAGAGGATCATTCTCTTCAGAGTAGCACACATGCTGCCAGGAGCTGCAAGTGCATCTGTGCATCTCTCAGGCCACCCGGACTTTATTATTATCTGCCATTGTTAGAGATTGAACATATCTCGGATCATTAGCTTCATTTTACAGTCTACTGAAGAGGCCCTTTTACATTAACCAGTTTTATTAATGCATTTTCACATAAAGTTTAGGGTTAAGACCAATGCCTATGGTGTTCAAAGCACAGATCAATCCTTGACCTTTAACCAGCCATATTATCTTCATTTCAGTGTGTGGATCTGGTTTCATCAGATATGGGAAGATAAGCCTGTGTAATGAAGTCTTCTAAGAGTAAGAAAATTTGCAATGGTATTTAAGTTTAATTTAAATTAGTTTTTTTCTTATAGCAATTATGCAAGTTTCATTAACATCCATCTTGAAGTGGACAGATTATTATTATCTTTTAACAAGAGCAAAGATGGAGGCATATTTTGTCAGGCTTTCAAAATAGAACTTTAACTCATGCCATTACCAGTAAAAACACACACACACAAAAAAAAAACACTCCCAATTCTCTCATGATAATTAGATATGGCTGGGGTAAGGTAACTCCTTCAGTGTAATGTAAATTTATGCACCTCTTGATGAGTCAAGAACTCTGTAAAGTCTCCTCTAGCACATCCTAAAGACTTTCAATGAATTTAAGGTCTGGACTCAGAGATGCCAATTCATGTATAAAAATTAAGTCTACTAAAGTCTAATTTAATTAGAGTATTCATCTCTTTCAAAAAATAAATAAATAAATAATAAAAAAATCTTACTGACCTCAAACTTTTGAGTGCTAGTGTCTGTTTCACATAAATAACCTATGAGAGGTTAACACTTAAGGTTAGAGGTTTGCCATCTTTAAGCCTATTATACATAAAGGGGAAGATTGGGTGTTCAAGGACAAATGGTGAGGATGAGTATGGATGAGTTCAGCTCAGCGTGTAGGACAAGGTGTCCGATTTCCTGCCACTGGTCTCCGAAAATCAGAGGAGCTTCGGTGACAAAAAACCTGTGGTACATAGTGTTCTCAAAGCAAAATGCAAAATGCTGTTCATTCAGCTGCTACCGGACACTTCGCAAAGTAACAGTATATCCTAAAACTCAGCCAAAATTAGCAAGGAAAGAGACAAGTGCATAGGCTTTTTTTAAAGAAGTTTCTTTGAAGCTCCTCCTAATTCTTTCTTTTCTTTCCCCCTCAATTTCAATAATGTCTTATTGCGCTCTGTTCAGGCTTCTTGCACAGACTTAAAACTGGACATATCGTATTTCCTCTTTAAAGAGCAGTTATTGTCCTCTGTTACGATATTCATCAGTTTGAAAAAACAGTCCCGTCGTTGTGAAGGGCGGCAGGATTATCCGGCAAGAACAGGTGGGTTTTTTATTAAAGCAAAGGAGGAGCCAGTCCGGACTAGACGAGAAAGGACGAGTTGAAAATCTGAGAGCGCATCAGATGGACGGACAGACAAAGCAAGAGAACCGACGAGTGTTAATATGGTGCTGTTCACCACTAAGTTTGTCCAGAGAGCTTCGCTCTTTGTGTCCTTCGGAGGTTTAATCACAACGTTTATTACAACCTTCCTGCCACTATGGAAGACGATGAACTCCGATTTGAATGAGATGGAGAACTGGTATGAGGGTCTCTGGCACATGTGTATCTACACGGAGGAAGTTGGATTGCACTGCAAAGCCTTCGAGTCTTTCTTGGCCCTGCCACCAGACACTTTAGCTTCACGGGTTCTCATGTGCATTTCCATTGCGACGGGATTTCTCGGTGTAGCGGCTGCTTTTTTTGGACTCCAGGGTGTTGAGATTGGTGCCGGGCGGGAGAGGATGAAGAGGGCTCTGCTTATCCTCGGTGGAGTGTTTATCGTTGTGTCAGGGATCACGACCCTCGCACCCGTTTCATTGATGGCGTACATAATGGTAGTGAAATTCTGGGATGAGAATCTTCCTGATGTGATGCCCAGATGGGAGTATGGAGAGGCCATGTTTTCTGCCTGGTTTGCTGGACTTCTGTTAGTTGTCGGAGGGGCTTTTCTCTTTGTTGCCGTCTGCATGGGCGATCATGAAGAAAAGCTGCAAAATAAGATCCTCGCTCGTAATCGAGAACAGCGGCCGAGAACCCAGTATTACCGAAAGACGGAAATCTTATAGCTTCGATTTCATCTTAAGGCTGGAAAATTCAAGAATGCAACTCAGCGTAACTAAATAAAAAAAAGGCCGGACTTGTTATGAAATATTGAATTTGTTTGAATTAAGAGGAGTTATAGTACTTGCATGGGGATTTTTCATGGTGATCATCACCCTCAAATGTGAAGCATGGAGTAATGCTTCAGTTCTTATTTCATTACAATTGGTCTCTGCAGACTTGAGAGAGATTGGTGAGCTGTCATCCTGTAAAGAATACTAAAACTCTGCAAATCTTTTGGTTAGGGTTGCATTGGATGGCAGCTGATGTATTTGCACTTGCATTGCACCAAATCCTCATGTAATGTCATGCATGACTTGGAAGAATCTGGACAGAATTATTCATGTTCTGAAGCTTTTAAGTGACTTTCAAAACTCTATGGAAAACAAATCAGTGGCCTCTTGGTACTTTAACATACTGATAGATTTAAAAACATTATCCTATAATAAAACATTAAGAATGTGAAATTTCTCGTTTTTGTTTATCATTTTATTTTATTTTGTGTGTGCATTTTTTGTCACTTTTTTATTATCTAACATGTTTGTCAATAACGACAGCAGTGCCAGTTATAGTTGATACTGTAATGCAAGTTTTGCGATTTGAAAAAAAAAAAAAAAGTAGCCTATGTGTCTGAATAAATTTGTAATTTTGGGTGGGAATCTGAGACTATTCTGTGCATAATCAGAGTCTTTGTATGACATAAAACTCATAATAACTGAAAATGACAAATATTTGAATGGTCTGTTTGTCCTAGTCAAAAGATTTGTTCCTAAAGGGATAGTTGAAAATTCTGTCATCATTTACCATCTTCTTATCTTATCGTATCTTTCTTTGTGTTCCACAGAAGAAAGAAAGTCATAAGGTTTCGAGCGACATGAGGGAGTGTAAATGGTGACAGAATTTTCATTTTTAGATGAACTCTCTTGTAAGTTGAATTCTGTATAATTACTGTTAAATCAAGCAAGGTATTGATGAATCATTGAGGTTATACAAAATAAAAGTGTGTGATTTGATCAGGCCTCACTCCAAAGGCCTTCAGTGTTGTGTAGTGTTTTGGGATCGAAAACATTGTGTAGCCATCCCTAATGGATATTTTGGCATCAGTTAGATCAACATTAAAAGAAGTATAAAGGAAATGAAAGAAGACGGATAGGGAGCGACAGACCACAGTTGAAGCAGAAGTTGGAAAACAATGAATTCTTTTTCCTCGTCTAGGACAGGCATGCTACCTTTTAGCCGTCGGCTAATCTTGGCAGCGAAAGAGAGCTAGTGTAGAGTTCAGATAAGAGTTTCCTCTGAAACACAGAGGTGAGTGGGTTCAAATGAAGAGAAGGTGTGCCTTTGGCTTACGGTCAATGAGGGTACATTCCTTAAGAGCTATACTCTGCATCTGAATTTGCCTACTTATATACAGTGTATAGTAGGTGAAAAACATTATGTGAGCCGACTATTATGTCCGAATTCATAGTACTCAAAACAATCGGTGAAAAGTACCCAGATGACCTACTAGTTCTGGTGAGATTTTAAGTGTCTATCCAAAGGACACACTTTACTATCCCATGAAGATGTAGTATGTCTGGGTTACATTACTAGCCTACACACATTCATATAGAACGTATTTTTTGATGATCACGAAGTACGTTTTAAACCAAATGTATGTGATGATTCCAGAGACGGCGATTTCATTCATGCACAGAAGTTGAGATTTAGTCGATTTTAATGTTTTTGAAAGACGTCTCTTCTGCTTACAAGGCTGCATTTATTTAATAAAAATACAGTAAAACATGAATATTGTAAAATATTGAAAATAATTGTTTTCTATTTTTTTTTTTCCTGTGATCAAAGCTGAATTTTCAGCATCATTACTCCAGTCTTCAGTGTCACATGATCCTTCAGAAATCATTCTAAAACGCTGATTTGCTATAATATCGATGTTGAAAACATTGTTTTTACTGGATAACATTTTTGTGCAAACAATGATACCATTCAAACATTTGTAGTAAGATTAAAAAGAGAATTTCAGAAATTCAGAGAAATTCATCAAAGATACATTAAATTGATCATAAGTGACAGTGTTAATGTTACAAACTTTTTTGTGTACCATTTCCACAAAAAAGCAGCACAACTGTGCACAACATTGACAGTAAAAATAAGGAATGTTTCTTGAGCAGAAAATCAGCATATTACAATGATTTCTGAAGGATCATGTGACACTGAAGACAGGAGTAATGATGCTGAAAATTCAGCTATATTCAAATAGAAAACAGTCCTTTTAATTTGTAATAATATTTCACAATATTACTGTTTTTACTGCATTTTAGATTAAATAAATGCATATTTTTGGAAAGAGATTAATAACACTTAAGCAATGATGCATTAAATTGATCAAAAGTGACAGTATAGATATTTAGAAAATATTTCTATTTCAAATAAATGCTGTTCTTTCTATTTATGTAGGCCTAGGGTTTCCACAAAAAACATTAATAAGCAGCACAACTGTTTTCAACATTCATGTGACACTGAAGATGTGACATCTTTCCAACCCCAACATTTTGATATTAATATCTAATTTAATCGAATATATTTTCATAACTATATATTTTAAATGTCATTGTATTAAACATGCTAGTGTTTTTTTTTTACTATCCAACTAGGTAATAACCTGCTCAATAAGTTATTGTGCCCTTGAAAATCTCAGCTATCGATTCTTCCAGGACATCCACTGTCTCCAGAAGGGTTTTAGGCTGAAAAGCATCCCTACCGGAAGAATACATTAACATTCATAGCAGAGAATGAGGCTAATTCATAATTCATGAGATCTCTGATCTTCTGTATAATATGTTGTGACCTGTATGGCTCTTTACACTGGGACAGGCCATGTCTGGGACACTTTGGTGAAGGGAATGAACGCCTTATGAAATGATGTGTTATGTTTGTCCCTTTATCCTTGAGGTGATGTTTCCTCAGCTCTCCACCTCTTACCAGCAGAGGGCCTCACAAGTAGATGTTCTACCAGGATCTTGCTTCCTGATGGAGGTAGGCCTAACTTTGTTTGTACCTGCTGCCAGATGTTGTATAGATGTCAGATGGCTGTAGTAAAATCAGACTTCTGGTTTCAAGGCTGAATCCCTAATGCATTGGCTGTTATTTATTGCTGCCTAAATGTATTGTGAGAGCATACTGTTTTATTGTACAAAAGTGTTGTTTTAATCTAAACGGCAAGCACAACTTTAGTAGGTGAATCATTATTTCAGGTTTCTTTCACATGGCAAACTATTCTCTGATCCGACAGCATATTTAATGAATATGAAATCAGAGAGGTTCCCTTTTGTGATGACCACAGCAAAAAGGGTTTCTCAAAGCCTCATGACCCTTTCAATAATAATTAGACTAAAATGTAAGTATCTTCAGACATCCTTTTACTTTGCCCCTTTTTACAAAGGCAGTCAGACACGCACAAAGGAGAAAAGACAAATCTACATTTTTACATAAGGGGTGGTTGCTAAAGTTAGTGCATGGCTAGATGGTTGCTAGGGACTGATTATTGGCACATTGCAATTTAGGGTGTTTTTGTTTATGTTTCTATGCAGTTTTTTGGGTTTTCTGGGTGTATTTTAGCAAGCTAGGGAGTTCTGAATGTTCCTTAAGCACATTGCTAAGCAGTTGCCACTGTTTTTTTCTTTTTTTTTCTAGCATGTTGCTATGCAGTTGCTAGGTTGCTAGGATGTCCTGGGTAGGTTTTAGTAAGCTATTATTTATTAGGGTGTTCTGGGTGTTTTTTAGTTGAGCTGGGTAAAAATAATAATAATAAAATAAATAAATAATCAATTTCTCGATTTTAATCATTCTTATTTTGAAGAACCAATATCGATTCTTAAATCCCCCAAATGGATCTTTAGTCTGTTTTTTGTTGTTGTTGCTTTATCATGCCTGAATATTGTTAAGCGCATGACATCCAATAAATCGCAATAAGCTTGTTGCTTCTGATATAAAACAATGTCTCAGCTTTTACATTCTGTCAATTTTATTACGAAATTCAAATACCGTTTTGGCGCTCTTTAATGTGACGCGCGACAGACAGTGTAGGCCTTCGTTCAAGCGAAACTCATCATCTCTTCCTCTTTATTGCTAACGTTAGTAGTTACAGCATGAAATAAACATGAACGAACATCCGAAGGTATGTTGAAAGATACAGTACAACTTACCGAAATCCGTATCATGTCTCGTGAAATCGCTCAATCTCTGAACCGCGGAAAGATGTCAATAAAACCGCTTGTAAACAATGCCAGGTAATGTTACCTCAGAAAAACCATTCAATGTCCAAAAACTCGTCAGTCTTAGCTTTTTGATATATGCACTATATTGCAACAGTTTTATTTTTCATGACTATGTACAAAACGATGTTTTTTTTTCATTTCTTGTTTAAAAAACATATCTTTTTATTTGATTTATTTTTAATTTTTTAAGCTCAATAACATAAGAACATTGTCAAGGATTTACATACATATGTGTAGGCTATGTTAGAATAAATCCGTCATGTTTGTATTACAGCCAACATTTAACTCTTTCCCCGCCAGCGTTTTTTAAATAAGTGTGCCAGCCAACATAGTTATGTCATTAAAAATGTATTATTAAGACGTTGTTATTAAAAAACTTCCTTATGTGTAATTTAAATGTAAATAGCCTACAAATCAGTTAATTTAACCTTTATTATAGTGATGTACCAACCGGTTTCCCTAGGAAGCTTGTTTCCACCACAGAATAAAACATTTTAAAAAGTAATTGCGACTTTTTATCTCACACTTTTTACTTTTTTCTCGGAATTGCAAGTTTATATCTCACAATTCTGAGTCAATAACACGCAATTGCGAGTTAAGTCAGAAGTGTGTGAGATATAAACTCGCAATTGCAAAAAAAGAGTCCGAATTGTGAGAAAGTCGCAATTATCTTTTTTAAAATTGTGAGTTATAAAGTCAGAATCTTCTATAGAAACTCGCAATTCTGAGAAAAAAAGTAAGAATTGTGAGATAAAAAGTAGCAATTAGCATACCTTTTTAATTTTTACTTAGTGGCGGAAACAAGCTTCCATGG